CCCAGGCTATTACTCAACCTCCAGAAAGCACCCCTTCCTCTCTCCCAACATTCTCCTCCATCTCCTATTGCACAGTCTTCTTCAGTGTCTACCGTCTCTTCCCTTATTACTACTCTTTATCCTTATTGTCCTTCCCCCTCACAGAACTACTCCACTCCACACCACCCAATTTTCCCTCTGGCCTCATCTTTCTACTGCCTCTACCTCTCTTTGGCCCAGCCAAGAGAGATCAATTCTTTATGATTCCCACCACAGCCCCCTACCCTGAGAATACCCTTCTCTTTCAACAGTGTCTCCAAAAACAAGTAGGCAAAGTTACCTTTCGCAGTTGCTCCAATTGTTCGCATGGAATTCACATCTGAATCCCAAGCTCATGCACTATTTACCCTAATTGACCATACTGGCAAGCCCATTCCTGCTGAACCTCACTCCTCTCTTAATACTTGTACTGGAAATGTTTTTATCCCTCCAACTGCTTATCCTGTCTACAAAAAGAACTGGTCAGACTGTGAAAATTACCTACTTACCTGCCTTGTTGATTGTGATACAGTAGCAATACAATGCTACACTATTCCTCCCAGAGGCCAGCTTAAGTACCATGTCAATATTACCAAGATTAGCTTCCATAGACATGACCTCCCCCATGAAGTTTCCATTGGTGGATTGTCCTAATATGTCCGACCATATCAACCCCTTCCCCGTCAATGTCAGAAATGTTGGCATTTTGGCCACCCAGCCAAACACTGTCGCTTCACAGCCCGCTGCTCTCTATGTGCCAAGACTGGTTATGACCGTTCAAATAACCCTGCTGTGCCATGTAGGTTTGCCAACTGTGGTAACTCCCATAATGTATTTTATAGAATTGCCCTGGATATAAGCTTGAATGTGAAGTAGCAGTTCTCAGATTCATGAGGTTTTTCTCTTTCTACCTATTTCAAAACAGTCCTTCACTCTGCTCCCCCTCTTCTCCACAAGATGTTTCTGCATCTCCCCCAGTATCTCTTCCCCTTACCTAGAACCATCCTACCTCTGCTCTCCCTATCCCACAGTCAAATCCCTTTTCCATTCTAAATCCAGATACTCCAATCTCTACCACTTCTCCAATGCCAACCCTTCCTCCCCCTTACTTTACCCATCACACCAGACAACCTAAATGTTATACTCCATCTTAGCCTTCCACACCCTTTCCTACACCCTCCTTTTCCTCTGCTCCTCAAACATCAATCCCGTCTTCTCCTCCTCACAAGAGATCCTTTGTTTCTCAGAACTCCCTACCCAAATTCCTTCCAGAAACTTTTTAAGACATCCAAAAAATTCCTGGACATGACCCAAGAAAATGTTCTGCTCCCTCCCAACACACCCCATCCTCTCCTTCTCCATGTACACCATTCTCTTTTTGTTCTCCATTATCCTTACCTCTCCCACCTGGATACTCCTGGGAATCCCTTCTGTCGCAACACTGTCCCTCTCTGGATTCCTCCCCTCCTGACGCTCTTCCTGATACTTCACCTCCTTCCCCAGTCCCCTTATCTGATCCCCCAGACTCTTTTCATGCTGCTTCTCCAACAGCCATCTTTACCTTATTATTTCATAATAGCTCTTTTGCCAGTTTTTCCTTAAAGCAATATTGCTATAGCTTCCCCAGCAAAAAATACACCCCATTTCATCCAGTTGGCCTATACCTTTAACCCTTTCCTTTATTAATCTCCGATTTACGTCATTTGCATCCCCTCTTTATCCTTTTCCCTATTATACTATCCTATAACACTGGATAACCTTTGACATTTAACTCGTTATCCTAATTGTTAACTCATTAACTTTTTAACCACAATACTTTACCATAGTGCTATATGACCTTAGATGTCTAGTACATTTGTTTGTTTCAATCATTAACTATACCCTTCCTATTGATATATAGAAGTTACAGTTACTTTTTCAAAGGAACAGGTCACATTTTTGTAGCTCCAGCAGAAAAAAAAGAGAATTATGTCTTAGAAATTCTAAAATCTGATGACATGCATTTTTCTTTTTTTCTCTTTAGGTTTATATTTGGATTAGGGCAATGTACATGTGTTAGTTGTGCATTTGTATAATCTAAAACATATTTACTCTTTTGTTTAATGATTAGTTAAACCAGTCAAAATATTATTAGATTCAGTCATTAGCAATATCTGGTTAGCCATTAATGTAAGTATGGGTTATTCTTTTGGATGTTTTGGGTAAGATTACTATTCATGGTGCATATTTCATTTGTTCTAAGCCAGTTTCAGAATATGGAAAGAAAGAAAGAAATTACTATACATAGACCTGTCATTAGTTCAATCAACACACTTGTTGGTAGTTTGTAGATGACTAAGATGTGAAATAATTACAACTTAAAGGGGAAACAGGCTTGCCACCTGTATGTGTGTCAATGGTGTTTGTACATTCATCACAATCTAGGAGATTTTCATTTTTATTTATTAGATACATTAGACTGAAGTTATTTCTCTTTTCACAGGTACCAGGAAGCCTGGATCCAGACCTATTCTTCGAAGTTGCAGACATGGATACTTGATGCTAAAATCAGATAGGGGACATCTGCTGTAGGCATCTTTATTTTACTTTACTGCCAACCAATCTTGTTTGCCAAACCTTTTGCTAACCTTACGGTGCTCACCACAGTTGCCTCCATTGCTTGCATTGAAATTTTCCTTATAGTTTTGTAGTTGTTGATTGTCCCATGTCCTCAAACACTGTTATGAAAGAATATTTTGGGCAAATGAAACTTTTGTTTTAAGTATACCTTGCATATGGTACTTACATATTGTTATATTAAGTTTTTAGGTAATGGGCATATAAAATATACATATCTGACCTCTTTGGTCCTTTTTAAAAATTTGAACTGAAAAAATAAATGTGCCAGCTACCTTCTGGCATATTAATGAGGTAATAAAACCAAAGGAGTATCCATGGTGCATTTAAACAGTATAATTCTGTATCTACCTTTTCCTTCTTTTGTTTTATGGAATTTGAACTGTATCCAAGTTCAAAATGTAGATTTTTTTGTTTTTTTCTCCAAAGAATTTATGTCTTACAGTTTAGAACTGTGTCTTCTCATTAAGTTCATATGTTTGCTGTGCTTTGTTGCCTTTATTTACTGAGTAAAGAGGATCCTTTCAAATTTTGAGATAAGATTACATAGGTTGTGATGGTGTTCTATTCCAATTTCATATTTATGGGAAGCGAAACAGTAAGGTTGTGAATCTGAGTCGAGCTTATAAGTGAATTAATCATTATTTATGTATGTGATTGATGTATATAATGTAATATTGTGTACATTAGCAAGAACTGTGTTTGAAAAACATACCTCTTGCCAAGAAGTCTGTAATAAAATACTGAAAGTTTTGGTGAAAATTGTTACTAGTCAGTGGAAAAAATACTTTTATTTTCATTTTTTCCTAATGCTGGACATAAAAGGAAAATGAGTAAGATTAATTTTGCTGTGTACATCTAGTTAGTATTATGGATATTAATATGTATTAAATGATGGTTTTCCCAGTCTCTTATGTGTGCCTGTTAGGATAAGTGTTGTTTTCATCCCTATTCAAGATCATATAATTGCCACCCTTTTTCATAAAACTAAAAAAAAAAGAAAAAAAAAATTCAAACCTTTTTTCTTTTGTGCTTAATCTTTGTGCAGTAAAGTAGCTTTTCTTTTGCCAGCAAGACAGCAGATTCAATATTGATTTTTTGTTGTCTATGTTACTGTCTTTAGGTTATAATTTACTTATTTTTTGCCAATGAAAATATCCTTGCATATTTCTATATTACGTCTGAAAACACTGGGTTATCTTTTAAAAAAGATGTAGAGGAAAAGGATCTTTAAAAAGGTGATTATAATGAATAAAGGATAAAGAGAAAATGAAAACAGACTTAAAAAGCAGAGGTTCTATTAGCTTAGCTATAGTATTGGTATACATAGTCATACCAGTTAGATGGAGAGAATATTAGATACATATATGAACTGGAATGTGAAAGACCTTGGGTTTTTGTACTAAGTGGTGACTATCTTGTGCTGTGTTGTCTACCTAATTATTATTTATAAAGATCAGTATGTTCATTGTAGCTCATGCAGTTATGTTTGCTTTTTTTTTAAAGAAATACTAATATGAGTAACCCATTCACTCTTTGCTTTGGTATAAAAAAAATGTTCAAGGCTTCATGGACTTTTTTGTGTGTGTTTTGGATTATGTTTTGATATAAATTATATGCATATCATATAATATGTATTCATGTATTTAATATTATATTATTTTTTTCTGAATTTATAGTAGGTCTGAGATTAGTAATTCATTGTCATCATGGAAGTGAGTGGGTTATGTTATTTATAAGATGAATTTCCTTTTTTTATTGCTATTCATTAAAATTTCTTTTGTAAAGCTCTGTTTTAGGAGTTTCTGTTAGTTTTTTTTCTGTCTTCCTTTTCAAATTCCATCACATAATGTTAAGGGGCATCTATACATTTCTTGCATCGTAAGACTGATGTTGATTAGAAGATCACAAAACAGTTTTTTTCTCTTTTAATCATCTTTCTTTATACAGAATCTGTACCCAGGGTACAGTTTCAAACTGGCTAGTAAAATCTGTAATGAGGCATTTATCATGAACTTCATGTCTACATTCATTCATCTACATGCACAAACACTTGTACATACCCAGCCGCCTGTCCACACACACACACACACACACACACACACACACACACACACACACACACACACACACACACACACACACACACACACACACACACACACACACACACACACACACACACACACACACACACACACACACACACACACACACACACACACACGTGTATGCATGCATGCATGCACGCACTCATGCCCGCATGTCACTTATGCACATGGGCACACACATGCACACAAGCACAAGCACACATACACATAAAATACAAGTCATTACTAAACATAAGTAGGTTGCTTGTTCTCATAAGCTTTATAGTTGTTTTTTTGTAGAGTAGAAGAATCCCAAATATGTATCATTCTCCATACTATAATATTGCACGACATTAGGAACTTGTACAGAGTAAATGTTACACATAGCAGCTATGACTCTAGTTATGTTATTTAAAACAAGTAATACAATATTTTGGGGATGTTGACTACCATTACTATTGTCTTCTGTGTGACCCAGGACCACCAAATGAGTCAGAAGTTGCCAGTGACATTTCTTGACTCAACAGAGCATCTGCTTTCCTGTGGTACCATAATGAAGTGAATAGACTAAGTGGTTCCATAGTTATCATGGATAGTAGAAAATATTTGGAAGCATAGGAAACCTTGAAGTCTTGAGATAGAGAAGGTCAAATTTGTACTGTTAGAACAATGAAAAATGGAAATATCTTTGCAGTGTAGCCTTAGAGTTAGATTAGAGCCTTGAAAATTTAGTTGGAAACAATGAGAAGTCTGATATTATCAAGGTTATCACAGTTTTGTAGTTAGATGTAGTGACAAATGGAATTAAAGAATACAGATTTTGAACATAGATTATCACATGAAGCTTTACAGTATACAAAAATGTGCACAGCTAAATATCAGTATTTGCTAAATTGAGAAGGAGAGTTGTTTTATTGCCTTTGCCACACAGTTGAACTGTACAACTACTGGATCAGTTGGTGGTGTAGGTCACATTTGATGATGCATATAAACCTTCCTGTATGAGGCATTATATTATTTAACTGGTTTGCTAGCTTTATTGGGTATTATTAATGATTTCTACTACCTGCATGTATATTTTTTTAAGATGTGATCAGAAAGGATTGTTAGTGGAAGCTCTGTTATTTACTTTTTGTAATATTGTAAGCGGCTTTAGTTAATCTATGATTTACATTTAGATAAAATTTTCATATATATTTTCATTGCAGTCTGTTCTTGTTTCTAGTTTATTTTACTTGATAGATAGAAACATAATTGCAGAAATGTCATTTATGGTGGAAAGAGATTGTCCAACAAGCTGAACGATTTTCATGTCTGGTTTATGGTTTTGAAGAGCATGATTATGGCCATTTTATTTATTCATTTATTATTATTATTATATTATATTATTATTATATATATATATATATATATATATATTATATATATATATATTTATTTATTTATTATTTATTATTTATTTTTATTTATTTATTTTTTTTTTATTATTATTTTTTTTTAAGACCCCTGAAAAGGTTACTATTTAATTCACATAAAGGAAAGATGCATTCTTGGAATTTCAGTGTAGGTCTATAGTCTTGTATATAAAATTTTTGGGAAAAAAAGATTTATGATTTTTTTTATATAAACCATAGTTTACAGTAAAAGTATGGCTATACTAAAATTAATTTTGAAATTATACCTTAGGAGTGCTATTATGTGGACATCCTTAATCCAGCTTGCATCCCTGAGGCTTTTGAGCATTGTGCTGTTAGTACACTTTGTTAATTGTAATTATATGGATTGTTTTATTTGAATCAGTAACATAGTGAATTTACGTAAAGCAACCTTTCCTCCTACATTTTTCTTTGTATTTCCAACTGTAGTGACCAGGGTAATGTGTGATATTGCTGATCACCGGGCAGCTTCTGATTGTATTTCCGTGAGAAGTGCTTTTATCACCAATGAGTTAAAACTGCTACCTTCCATCTATTATGTCCTGGTAATTCTAATATTCAATATCCCATATTTTACAAATGTAGCTAGATGGCACTATATTTTATATATGTATATGATTATACAGTTGTTTAATAAAAGTACCTAATTCATTACATGTGAGACAGAAATACTTGACTGTGTGTGTAAGGGTTCGGATTTTGGATGGTTATGGTATTTTCATCTTAAAAGGTAATAAGGTTGATAAGTGTGTTCTGTGCTTTGTATGAAATCTTTACATTTCTTTTCAGGGTTGTGTTCCTTCTGGTCAGTCACATATGTACATAAGCAGTGCATAAATTGTAACGTAGTAGTAGACTTTTAACTCTTTTTTTTTCATGAAACTGTATGTTACTATTTTTTCATTAACAATGAAAATTTTAGATTTGGAGATATCATTTGACTTTTGTGATTTGTTGTAAAGTGGGAAAGCATTTTTTCTTCTTTTATGTTTGAATATTTTATGTACTATATTTTTTTCTATGGTTGTGTTTTACAAGTCAAAACAGTATATAAAGAGAAACATTGTTTAAGTCTCCCTATGCTTGTGTTTAATGTCCTTTTTACTATTAATTATTTATAAATATGATGGTTTACAGGATAAGTAAATTAATTAATGTTAGCCAACATAGAAAAGGGTAAGCAAATTAAATGTTGATTTCATTTGATATGATGTTTGGAAAATTTTCTTTCTGCATTTTTATTTCCAATATTTTAAGGTACTTTTTTTTTAGAAACAGTGAGTCCTTTGCCGAACTCATCTACTCGTCTTGGGTAAGATAAGAGCATTTGATTAAATATGTAATTCCAATGGAGTTGAAAATTCTATCCATGATTTTCCAAGGAATATGTACTTGGCTAATACAGAAATGGAAAATTTCCACTAACTGTATAAAATTGCTATTCATTTACTTTAGGAAATTGGCCTGCATATAGAATTGAAATATACTGAAAAGCCAAACATTTATATTGTTTCTTTTTTTTCACTAAATTCATTTTTGAGCAAAACCAAAAATGTTATTTTATCTTTACATATTCCCTCTAGCAAACATATAGAAAAATGTTTTATATTCAAAAAAAGGTTTCAATTTATATCTTGTGGACTCTAAACAGTACACTGCACATAACCTTGCAATGCTGCACATGCACATGATGTATTTGTAAAGTTAATGTCTACATTTAGAATATTATTTGTTATTTATGGAAATACTCATTAATGTCTTCAAACATCAGAGGTTCATAAACATATGTTAAAATTTTAGTATTTTCTTATTATCAGTACCGGTAAAAGGCCCGAGTGCTTTTTATCTTGAGAAATTATGTCTCTTTTTGCCATGTAAACCATCATGCTTCTTATTTGCTTTTGCATTTCTAATCAAACAAAATAAATTTAAAAACTAATATGGATGCTAATTGCTTCCAAATATCTTTCCAATTAGGATTTCAGTGTTATTTTATTTTAAGTCAAGGTTAGAACCATATAAAATTAAAATATTTGTATATTTATGTATCCTTTATTAATTGGTCTGCCTAAATTATAACAGGTAATTGCTGGCAGGCTGTGTGCCTGACCTTGTCTAAATACACTGTAGAATAAATGTATCCTTTTTCATCAAGTAACAAATTCAAAATAGTAAATAAATTTAGGATGTCTGAAAACACAGAACTCAGTTGAATATGTACTTTTCACTGCATTTTTTTTTTTTTTTTTTTTTTTTCAAATCAATTATTTTAGTAATATAAAACTAACAATCAAGCACATTTTACAGCAAAAATGTTTATGTATCTGATGACCTGCTAGGATTTTTTTTTTCAGGGAGCATCAGGACTAACGTGGCCACTATAGCATTTTATCAATTCAGTAGATACTGCTGTCTCTTCACTTATAGATGATAAACTTATAAAAATAAACATGAATGTGGTAATATCAGTGATAAGATATGATTTAGGTAAAAAAAACTCCACATTTTATTTATTAAGCTCATGATCAAAATGAACGAGAGTGAATGCTTAAACAATAATAGCTCTTCTTATACTGCTCTCTTCCTATCGCACAGCTATAGCCTTTGTCTTACCGTCCAGTGATCTCGTTAAGAAATGAGAAAAGTAATAATTTGCCTTATTCAAATTATGAACACACTAGTGAGTGCCCAAAAAAATAATTCCATATTACCAAATTTTCTACACTACTTACAAGAATTGCCATCTTATCTGTATGTTGGTATAAACTATCAGTATCATCTTAGTGGCCAAAAGATTATTCCTAACCATATATGCTCCACAAAAATGTGCTTTTTGCATGCTGCACTTCAAATGGGCAAACAAAATGTAATACTATCTTCAAAATCTTATATCTCTAACCTCCTGAAGTTCCCCGAAGTGGAAATTTCTTCTCAAAAATGTATTTTATCATACTGTGTAGTGTATGGTTACAAGAAAACTTGCCCTATTTTTAAAAACGATCCCAGGAACATCCCTCACCACTTGTAAAATGTTTTTTCCATTCTCCGGATTTTAACTGAAAGACGGAAGGACAGTAGGACAGACACATTCTACAGTTATACTTTAGATTGCTATTTTTTAACAAAGAAAGAGACAGTATGTGTAAGATGACGGGAAAAGAGAAGTATAAAAGGAAAGATTAGGAGAGGGTGAGTGAGTAAGCAAGCAAGTAATAAGTAAATAAGTAAGTGTGAATGAGAGTGAGTGAAGGAAGGAAGGAAGAAAGAAAGAAAGAAAGAAGAAGAAAGAGAGAGAGAGAGAGAGAGAGAGAGAGGAGAGAAGAAAGAAAGAAAGAAAGAAAGAAAGAAAGAAAGAAAGAAAGAAAGAAAGAAGAAAGAGAGAGAGAGAGAGAGAGAGAGAGAGAGAGAGAGAGAGAGAGAGAGAGAGAGAGAGAGAGAGAGAGAGAGAGAGAGAGAGAGAGAGAGAGAGAATGAGTGAAGAGAGTGAATGCAAGAACCAAGAGAGAGAAAAGGACAGACAAAGACAAAGAAACAAATAACCAGAGTAAACATTTTGTAGCATATAAATAAATACTGTACTGCACTCTATATACTATATAGCATTAAAATATAGCACCAAAAAAAATCATGTGATATCTGGAAATTTCAGTATTTGTTATAGTTATTTTTAGAATAATTTGGCACAAATATTATGTAAACAGTAATGTTGATGTTAACTTTGCAACCCAGCTATAATATCTGCAACTGTTAGATGTTAGTCTTTTTGTCCATTGAAAGCTAGTCACCCATATGATAATAAGAAAGATCTTGTAGCTGACAGTATCACCTTAAGAACTAAAATACTGTCATTGTGTTTTGCATATCATTAGATTTTCAACTGAAATGAACTTGTATGTGCATATTTAAAAGAACACATACACACAGGTGCATGCAAAGCACAAGCACACACATGCACATGCATGCAAAACAAACACACACACAACACACACACACACACACACAACACACACACACACACCACACACACACACACACACACACACACACACACACACACACACACACACACACACACACACACACACACACACACACACACACACACACACACACACACACACACACACACAGACATACACTTTTTGTATGATTCCTTAATAGGTCTAACTAAAAGACTTATTAGGTCAGATATAATTTGCAATGATCAATTATGAGATGACTAATCAATATACTTTGTTCATCACTTCTGGGATCTATAATATAATTCTGTTTATATCTTTAAAAATAAATCATATATCATGCAAGTTCATTTTTCTTGATATGGAAGTGATTAATATAATTAAATCCATAAAAATGCACAGATTCCAGCAGTTGCAATTAATAAGTTTGTCTCTTTAATAATTGCTGTTGTCCACTGCATGGGTAATACCTCCAAAGGACTCTGTTGCATATGATCCTTGTCGAATATCTGCTTCCTTCAAATTGTGCCAATAATGTATTCTTTTTTATAATGATGCATTACTTCTTGCTACATGGATGTAGATTTTCAAAAATATTTATTTACTTTAAGACCTGAAATAATATTGCACTAATAAAAGAAAAAATGGAATAACTGTTACCTTTCAATATTGTTATACTATTTATATCTGGTAACAATATCCTTCATATTACTCATTTCTCAAATTGTTCAGCAGATTTGTGGTTATAATACATATCAGTCTTTGTATTCTATGTTAAGTGTACTTTATAAATCAAACAGAATCCTTACAAATAAATGGGTGAAAATATACGATGCCTCTTCATTTACCTTTTATTTCTATTTCTATAATTAAACAGGTATGGAAATATATGCAAATATTAACATATTTACAAAACAAAACATGTATCGAGTAATTACATCTTTAATACCTAAAATCATAATATGGTGCAAGTTGATCCTGTAGAATTATTGGAAATCTTGCCTTCCTTCAGTTCTTTGCACTTCATTGCTAGGAAAGACATCTGGAAAATGATCAACAGTTTATGAACCCGCATTTATGAACACATATAGTGCAATGTTTACAACAATCCTTAAAAATAGGAAGCTGTAATAATGCAAACTCTTAACATTTGCATCCAGTTGAAGTAGAGATCTTTTGTTCATCCTCTCAGCAAATTATAATACTAAGGTAATAATAAATAAATCAATAAACAAGTAAACATGCCATTATAAGATTGTATAGCAAACCCTCTTACCTCTCTTTCCTTTTCAAACCATTCTGGAAGTTCTTTATTCCAGTCTTCTGGCGGGGAATCTCTCTTCTCCCAAACTGTGTTGCTGTAGTGACCACGTAATCTGTCATTTCGGCGATTCTTCTCACTCTCTATCACAGCTGTCTGTATCATCAATTATGTGAAAATTAGAGAATAAGTAGGCCTAAGATCCTTTCTCTCACTCTCTCTATGTTTCTCTTTCTCTCTCTCTGTTTCTCACTGTTTCACCCTCTGCCTCTCTCTCTCTCTCTCACACCCTCTGTCTCTCTCTTTCACCCTATGTCTCTCTCTCTCTCTCTTTCACCTTGTCTCTCTCTCTCTCTCTCTTTCACCCTATGTCTCTCTCTCTCTCTCTGTCACCCTCTACCTCTCTCTCTCTCTCTCTCTCTCCTTTCTCTCTACCTCTGCTCTCTCTTTCTCTCTCTCTGCTCTCTTTTCTCTCACCTTCTGTCTCTCTCTTTCTCTCTCTTCTTTCTCATTCCCTCCCTATCTCTCTTTCTCTTCTTTTCTATCTTTCCTTTTCTTTCTCCTTCTCCTCTTTCTTTTGGCTTTTACTTTAAAAAAATATCAAACATTTTTACTAACCAGTGCCTCCATATCCTTCTTCTTTCTGTACTCGACACAGTTTTCATAGTCTTTCTTCCACTGTAAGCAGTCTCTTGTTTCACCATAAATGAAATATTGGTGAAATTTAGCCTTGATGCTTGTACAGTCTCCATACTCCTCTTTGTAATGTTCACAAGGTCTTACCTGAGATTATAGGAGACAAGACAAATAAGATGAGTAAAAAAAAAAAAAAAAATCACAACACCTGCAAATCAAGTTCAAGACAGTCAACACTTTGAACCTAGGTATACTGTACGATTCATCATTTCATATATCATATATGATAATCATGTATCACTTCCATACATCACACAATAATGTAAAATTACTTACAAGCCATGATAGTTTTGGATGCTGTGCAAGTTCCTCAATGGCAACCTCTGTTTCCATTATTGCAACTTCTTTTAGTTACTGGTTGGCAATACTGAAAGAAAGATCAAGGCACAATAACAAATTAAGATGTCAAATACCTTCACACTTATAAAGAATAGATGGTTAGTGTTTAGAGGACAAATTAAACTATTTTTCTCATAATAATATTAGCTGTATATTATTCAAATCCACTTGAAATGCTATACTAAGTGAACAACAACAGTACAGTGCCTTGGTAATTAACAAACCTACACCATGCATATTCTAGTAAAGGGTCAGTCACATGAGAGCAAATTATTGAGTACTTTGTACATTCTACCAATCTGTTATGTACTATCTACAGATCTGTACAGATTAGATGTCCATACAAATGTCCTACAAACCAAATCATCTGCACTCTCCAAATTTTGATACAGAGCCGTGGTGTGAATATAAAAAAAAACATATATTTTTAATATGTTTTATTGTTTTACTGAAATGAAACTAATTATAATAAGAAAAGTCTAAGCATTTTCAGCTTCTAAAATTATTATCAAAATTTTAATACGGGATAATAGCACTGCAGACTGAAGTCAGGATTTATTACCCTAACTACGCAGATAATCTGGGGAATGAGGGGTCAAACCTATACTTTATTTCCCCCAAATCCTGCTTAATTTTAATGGATAATGGTGATCTATTGTTCTCACAATTTGTTAAATAATATTCGTTAATAATAAAAAGCCAGCTGTTTAGAAGTAATTGTAGAGATCGAAACCTACATGCTTGCGTTTTGGGATAGACACAATATGTAAAGAGAATAGACTGCAGACTGTAGAAACTATGTGAAAATTAGCACAGATGTGATAACTCCTTAAATCAGAGAATGTAGATTGTAGTAATTTATGGAGGTTGTAGTGATTGCTTGACACTGCAAGGATTGCCTTTAAACAAAATCATAAATAAGATAACATAAATATATCAAGTATACAAAAAAATACATAAAATATATATATATATCTACCAGAAAAAATGTAAATCAGAATAGAACCATAGACAGATAGATAAAATATTATGACAATATTTTTAGACTTTTAAGGAATACACAAAATACTGAAAAAAAAAATTATCTGCATAAAATAAAGGTAATGCTACAATTCTTCTGCAAATCCATGTCTCAATAATTCACATACTAATTCTAGCAATGTTGTGGACTAAGCCTCCAGGCTGGTAAAATGGAAACCCTCATTTGAGGATTGGATGTTCATGTCCTGCCCTGGGATGAAAAGTTTCAACTGTCGCCTGGTGGTTACTGCAATGGTTGGGCACCACAGAAGGTAAGACCTAAGCTCAGTCGAACTCTCATCTCTGTTCATTTACGTATAGCACCTTTGATACTGCCATAGAAGAAAAGTGTTTTGATTTGTATTGGTCTATCAAATTATATAGGTTTTATTACCCAATCCTCTACTGCCTTGTATTACATGTTGTCCCAAACTTTCACCATCTATATTTTAGCAAGCAAGAGTTTATAGACATTCTTAGCAAACAAAAACATCTTATATGACAGACATGTAATGGAATGGATATTGTTTTTTACAAGAATATAATCATGAAGAGCATGAATTAGTCTATGAGGTTTAATCTTTGGTAATTACTGTAATGGAAAATAAAGCTAAACAGATCTATAACTAATACTCATATACTCCAGTAATTACACAGATAATGACACTAATTTTATTGCATAATCCTTATGACACATGTGCCATCAGTAATACTGACCAAAACAACAAAATATCCTTGTTACTTAAATTGTGAACAGACCCATCAAAAGAATCGAATGACAAAACTCTTTAATCATAATTTTTCTTTTTAAAGAAGTCACAATACTGAAGGGTCTGCTGATGGTTACAAACGCCGGCCCAAGTCACCGCAATTATCGAAAATACTTAAGTAAACTATTACTCATTTATATAAATACAAATTAAGGCCCTCTTGAGTAATCTATTAACAAAATACACTCAAATGATATAATGATTACATAAGAGACTCATAAATGAAATTCAGCAAGAGCTTACCCCTAAGGTCTCAGCTGATCGTGTTGTGAATGTGTTTACATATTCAAAAAGTTTAGATTTCCTATTTCGTACATTAATGATTACATGTAATCAAATTCTTATGCATGATGTGCTTACATATGTGAAGTTACGAGAAATTTTATATTTCTGAACTCGGTGATTTTTTTCTGGTCGTAGCAGAAGGAATTTGTCGTCTGCACCCTTATGATAATGGAACATAAAGGTGAAAATTATAAACAGTAAAGCCATTAGGAAAATATGAATGAAAATTTAACATGTCTTAGTTTCTTACAGTTTATAAATCATACCTAATTAGTGAAGTATGTAATAAATGCGTCGTTTGCATTACTTATCTGTTTTCATTGTTAGTTATTTTCTTACTTTGTTTTTTTTTCGCATTCCACGTGTGTGTGTGTGTGTGTGTGTGTGTGTGTGTGTGTGTGTGTGTGTGTGTGTGTGTGTGTGTGTGTGTGTGTGTGTGTGTGTGTGTGTGTGTGTGTGTGTGTGTGTGTGTGTGTGTGTGTGTGTGTGTGTGTGTGTGTGTGTGTGTGTGTGTGTGTGTGTGTGTGTGTGTGTGTGTGTGTGTGTGTGTGTGTGTGTTGTGTGTGTGTGTGTGTGTGTGTGTGTGTGTGTGTGTGTGTGTGTGTGTGTGTGTGTGTGTGTGTGTGTGTGTGTGTGTGTGTGTGTGTGTGTGTGTGTGTGTGTGTGTGTGTGTGTGTGTGTGTGTGTGTGTGTGTTGTGTGGTGTGTGTGTGTGTGGTGTGTGTGTGTGTGTGTGTGTGTGTGTGTGTGTGTGTGTGTGTGTGTGTGTGTGTGTGTGTGTGTGTGTGTGTGTGTGTGTGTGTGTGTGTGTGTGTGTGTGTGTGTGTGTGTGTGTGTGTGTGTGTGTGTGTGTGTGTGTGTGTGTGTGTGTGTGTGTGTGTGTGTGTGTGTGTGTGTGTGTGTGTGTGTGTGTGTGTGTGTGTGTGTGTGTGTGTGTGTGTGTGTGAGTTTTTACGCATGGACACCGTGCCTAATTATTTGTCCGCCTTGCTCAACCTATGCATATATACACATAGGCCTAAAAGCAATTGCTTATACATTCTTACACATGTAAACGCATTCATACCCATACCAAGTTCCACGCCAGTCCTATATACCGAAAAGTTCCAAATATAGCTTCTTTCCCTGTATGTATCTATTTATACGACAGCTTGACGCAGCATAATCGAGTTCCATTACTTTGAAAGCTATTTATATCCAAACACGCTCACTACAAACATTTGCAAATCAATGTTAGTTACTGCAGTGTCATGGATTGGAATATGACCGACTGTTTTGTATGCTCGTTTTTTTTTTTTTTTTTTTTTTTTTTTTTTTTTTTTTTTTTTACTTTCAGGACACGCTGTCTACTTTATGCGGTAAAATGTTCTTAATTATCTTTCGTCAACTCAAAGGATGTTACTTAGTAATGACAGACACAAGGAATCTGATAATAAAAATGAATATAATTGATAAGGCAATTACCGTATGGTCTATAAATAAAAGATGTCATTGATAATAACACAATTCAGAGAACTCTATTTAATAGCAGATGATAGACACAAGGAACGTTAATGATAAAGATGGTAAAGATTATAATGTTAACAGGGGAAATAGCAGTGAGACAAGAGTGGGACTGTGAGATAGTGAGAGACAACTAAAATAAGGGATGGTGATAGTGAGTTCAGTAGATAATGAGAAATAGCGAGAATATTGGATAGTGATAGTGAAAGCAAGAAATAATGAGAATATGAAAGAGAGTGAGAAGGCATGTGAGGGAACGATGCCGATAGCGCGAACGGGAGACTAGGAGAGCGAAATCAAGAGATAGTAAGATGCGATAACAAGAATAAAAGACAGAGAGGGAAAAGATTTCGAGAGCGAGAGAGAGCGAAAGTGAGAGACAGCAAAACCAAGGGATCGCCGGAACTAGAAACAGCGAGAACGAGAGCGAGAGATAGCAAGGGATAGAGCGAGCGATATGAAATAATTTGACAGCGTGTAATGTCGAAAAAGAGCGAGGAATGGTAGGAGATAGCGAGGGCAAATGTAGTGATATATTTTGTCATTTTTTTAACGGTCTTGCTTTTTCAAATGTATTTTTGTACGTTTCTATCTCGTTTCCCCTAACTTGCTAGTCAAGTTAGTAAAAGAGGGCGCGTTATCGTTATTATCCTGTAGTTATATTTTAGATCACGTGTACAGTGCTGTGAAGAAATCAATTTTCACATGATTTTCCTGCTCTTTATAGTCGATTTTTCCCATAGAAATCCCCTGATTACCGTTTTTTGCCATCCAAGTAAACGAACAAAATTGTCGTTTTCTTTAATTTTTCATCACATATTGTTTACTTGTTTTCCAGTAAATTATGCAGTACTTTATTATTCTATTGTCTATAGGTGTATTAATTTGATAGTTCAGACCTGATTAGGGAAAGGTGGTAGATCAATTAATCAATAAAGGCAATGACCAACTTCCATCGATTTTATTATGCGTATAATTTCCGTTCTTACAAGGTAAATTTGGAAATATTACGCCAATATCTACCCAAGGCTATGACGTCACCACGTGGCTATTAGTAGTCTGTCATACAGATTCTTTTTTCTTAAAATCACGGTATTTATATCATACGGAAGACTATTTCCCGTTTTCTGATGCATGGGGCCTGTAAATGCAGACAAATAAACAATTATCCTTATCGGAATTTAAAGATATTGGAATTCGTTGGTGCGAGTAAACGCGACAACGCCACGTCTGCGAGTAATCATAACCTCGCCATTAACATTTACAGCCCAAAGCCATAAAATAGATTAAGTCGAGTGTAACATCAAGGAAAGAGAAACGTGTAGCGATGTTTATCAATGTATTTCCTTGTAGCCAATCAGCTGGCCCAGCGTGGTGGTAGCCATTCTTATAGCTTATTGATGTGATAAAAAATAAAGTATCATCTTTCCCGAAAAGAATATCATGGAACTAAAAAATAAGTTCACAGGTTATTTTAAGATTGAGAGGTTTTTATTTCGCACACAGCATCGTCTAAGCGAAAATACTTGTAGTAACAAAAACTAAAAGGACGACCCCAGTAGCAGACGACAGCTCCGAAGCAAATTGTTGACAGCGTTACAAACCTGTGGAATCAAGCCGCCAGCCGTCACCCAGGGAGAGCTATGGAAAATAAAAGATATATTCATTCTTTGCTCTTATTATTGACTTTTATTGCCAAGGCGAGTGGTCTTGGAGAGGTCATATATGCTGTGAATGCAGGTGAGTGCCCGCATTAGATGTAGTAAGCGTTTAGATATTGCTTTTGTTGTACCGGTAATGCCAGTTTGCCCTGATGGGGAGTTGCGATAAAGAATAAATAACAGTAATTTAAACTATCCAATGGCATGTCGTTCGGGGTTTCGAGTTCATGTTTTCCTTTGACCAATGGTTTTTACTCCAGTGTATGAATGTTAATCATTATGATGATTGAGGATTATTAAAAGAGGAAAATTACAGGTGCAAATTTCTGATTATACAGCAATTATCTGTGAATATTAATTGGGTCCAAACCTGCGTTTATCTTCATAGTATGTACGAATGTGTGTACTCAGGTAGTTATACAAATTCAAGAAGGCTTATAATTCCACGAAATAAATAGTGGTATGTATGTAAATAAAGAATTTATTTGCATGGTCACAGGAGATAATATATACATCAGAAACTCCTGTTGCATTCTTTAGACTCCAACTGTCTTCATATAGTTGTGTAGTAGATTCATGGAAAGTTTTTCAGAGTGATTTCTATAATATTTTATCTGGGATTATAATGGCGAGGCATTCACCAAATCCACTTAGAACATGCTTTGATAAGCGGTAGCAAGCCATCAGAAGTCTGACCCATTAATCACATATGCATATTGCACTGCCATAGACGAACCTCTGCCATATATAATTTAGGAAGACATGGCTTGGATGGGTTCCTTATTTGATGACATGTCACTAGGGGAGTCTGTAATCTCTGCCCTTCCAAAGTGTGTGTATGGAGCTTTGGTGGCCTTTGCCAGGGGGCTGAAGGCATGGAAGTTTGTGTTGTCCCTGTTTTTGGCAGCCGTATGACCTCTGTGTGCAGGTGATAAATACCTTTATTTTTTTTTTGTGAAAAAATAATGCAATATTTATCATGGAAAACCTAGTGTATGATTAGCCAAATGCTTAACTGACATTTTAGTTTATTTCAAAAGGAAATTAATATAATGTTTATACTGATTACTCATATGATGTCTTTAGTTGATATTGTATTAATTTCAAACTGAAATTGACATTGTATCCATGCTGATTATGCAGTACGATGTAAATGTTATTAAAACATGTTTGTGTCAAATAGTATGATACAATACATATATTCCACCTGCATATGTATACTAATGATTATATGTAAATGCAGATGCCCTAGGCTTATTACATCAATCAAGCTTGACTCAATAACATATGCAAAGACATGTGGTTACCATTAGTTCGAGTAATGCTAAAGGTATGTGCCTGGAATGGTTGCAGCTCTTGGTGGGTGGAGGGCAAGGGGTGAATTGGACATTGGTACAACAGAACACTTAGTTAATCATCAGTCAGTTATGAAAAAGTCTTGGATACTTTATTTTTTCCTTTTGAATTTTCACAAAAATTGTCTTGAACTCCTGATTTCATTGGTGACTGGAATAAGAGTATCAACGATAATTTTTTACCGAGATTGATTATAGTATAGGTCCATATAAGCCCAGTTTGGAAGTTTCTTGTCCTAATCGTTAACACATTTTCACCAATTTTGCCACAATACTTTGCTAGAGTGCAATATGACCTTTGATATCAAGCATGTTTATTTGTTTCAACCATTGACCATTTACTATTAGGCTTCAGTTAGTGTTACTTTTATGGTGTTATTAATTAAAAGATGAAGCATTTGATTTCTCACTAATTTGGCAGGGACAGTTTCCATGCCTGGTTGCCAATGTTTACCTTATTAGAAAAGGCAATTTAATAAATTCCTAAAACTGGTCTTGTAACTGGGGCATGCATTGACGAAAACATTGTAATGGTAATATTCATAAGCACTATATGATTATGGCATCACGAAACCTTGGTTATGGTTTGATTTTCATGCAATGTCTGATTGATTATAGTTTGGTTGTGATGATTAAGATAGGATGAATTTGATTCAAAACACCTTTATTTATAGAAGAATAAGCTTATTTATATTAATAGTCAGCACACTTGTGATCATGGTATCATGCCTATCTGGGATGTCTAGAGCTGTCATAACTACTGTTTTCATTCACTAACATTTTGTCAGTAAATGTCATCAAATAAATTGTTAAATATTTATAACATGGGATCACAGTAAGGCTTCCATCTGATCACTGAGATTTATAACTACTAAAAGATTGCATTAATAATTTCAAAAGTTTTCATGTTTCATAGAAATATGTGTGTTATTTGAGTAAATTGACGTGGTCAGAATCTGTTCAGTTTCAACATGTGCATAGACCCAAACAAG